CACACATGGCGATATAACGCGAGTTAATTCCACGCGTGGCAATATAAAACGTGGTAACTCCACACGTGGCGATATAACGCGAGTTAATTCCACGCGTAACGATATAACGCGTGGTAATTCCACACATGGCGATATAACGCGAGTTAATTCCACGCGTGGCAATATAACACGTGGTAACTCCACACGTGGCGATATAACGCGAGTTACTTCCACGCGTGGTAACTCCACACTTGACGATATAACGCGAGGTATCTCCATGCGTGACAATATAACGCGAGTTAACTCCACGCGTGGCGATATAACGCAAGGTATCTCCACGCGTGACAATATAACGAATTGCAATACCACGCGATGCAATACAGCGCGTGGGAAGTCGACACGTGGCAATAAAACACGACACAATTTCATATGTGGCAACATAGCGTGAGGGAATTCAATGCGTGGAAGTATAGCGTATTATAATTCCATGTAAGGCAGTATAGCGCGTGGAAAGTCGACACGTAGCAATATAACACGACACAATTCCAACGCATGGCAATATAATGCGAGGGAATTCAACGGCGCGACAATTGCAATGCATTACAATTTTCTAGAAAATATAATAACGCGATGTAATTTCATGTATGGCTAATAGAATACGTGATAATCTCGTATATGGCAATATAACACAATGCGATAGAACGCGTAACAAGTTTCTAAAATAGAACATGTGTACATAGGTGATGTTTCTTACCTTGCCCTGCATAATCAGGCGGATGGTCAGGGTAACTGACGGATCGTCGTTAAGGACTGGTTTGGCATCCATGTTATCCATGATGAATGAATTCACAGATCCTTTGACTGGCAAGGAAGGGTTTTATTGAAACTTCCGGGGAAGGGGAAGGATATAAGGCAGGATAAGGTGGGCAGGGAAAAGGTTAGGCGAGTGATTTTGGCTAGAGGGCTCGTGCTTTCCAAACGATCCCAGGTATATTCAGTCCTTGCACTGAAATCAAAATAATTCAATTATTATAAAACCATTAACACATGTTTTTCTAGTATATTATACTTTAGTTAATATTATCATTACAAAATTCTATGTACAGTCATGAAAATATCCTATTATGTCATTTGACTATCAATTACAAAATTGTTGAATCCCACAATACACAGATCTTATTCTCCAACTAAAATCCACAAAGTAACCTACATATTTAATCAACGATCTAACAAGAAGCATGATTTATGAACGTCATCATTTATCAACACAAAATTTTATTAGAACATGTCAGTTTATATGTCAGAATAAAATTTTCCAAGATTAAAATTTCAACAAAGGAAATTCCATTTCCAATTGCCGCTATTTTCAACGTGCACGTGTATCATCGGTTTTATCTTTCCCTGTTCTTTGTTGCTTTTAACGAACCGTTTCCTCATTACAGCTACGTGTATAAAAGCCACTTGAATAGAACTTTCGATTACAAAGAAACTGTGCAAAAGATTATTTTTATACGGTGTCTAAAATAATCGTCAAGTCTACACGGAATATTAATTCTCTGCGCTGGAAAATATTTTTACTGTTTGCAGATATGAATCTCAAAACTCTTTGGTTAAAAAACATATTCTATTGTTTTAAGATTATTAATTCTTTTTAATTTTGTGATATTTTGCACTTATTTTTGTGTCATAATAATACAGATTTAGTTTGAAAAATATTTATTTTAAATGATATTAAATTAAATGTAGTGTGTAGTCATCCCTTGAGTGCAAAGGGTTAATATTTTATTAAAAATGAAAAATTAAATTTTTATATGGTAGTTTGCTAAGAAAACATACTTGAAAATATACTTGTTTTGTGGAGTTAATTATACGTGATTGTATAAGTAAGAATTTATATGCAGATACGTTTAGCAGGTACATCTTTTAGGTTCCAATTCGAAGAAATAATAATGGAAATACTCCTCGTCCGCCATCTTGGTCATTAATCGCTCGACGAGGAAAACCTCAACAATTGATTTAAATACTTCACGAGAAACATCTACAACCGACAGAAACTTGATAATTTTACTCGGAAAACTATAAATAGAAGTTCCACATCTGTGAAAAGTTTGCAGCTTGAAATGTTTGCGGAAAACGCAAACTTTCAACTATTGAAACTATAAAACTTTCTATTATTAAATTTAGAACTATCAAGTTTCGAGTTATGAAGTTTTAGACTAGTTTTATGCTGTTAATGGGGTTTCAAACTATTCAATTTCACACTATTAAAATCAGAAACTAACTTTAAATAGACTAATATAGAATTTTTTAATAATAATATAGAATTTTTTTCAAATTTAAATTTATTCACTTTAAGTTATATAGTCTCAAGTTATTCAATTTTACGGTGTAAAAATTATTAAATACTGAAGTTTTTCAAATTTGAATTAATGTACTTTAAATAATAAAATTTTAAACAATTCAATTATGGAATATTAAAATTATTAAATATAGAATTTTTTCAATTTAAAACTAGCACACCTTCAGTAATAAAATTTCACTCCATTCAATTTTCCATTATGAAAATTATTAAAAGTAGAAGTTTTTCAATTTTAAACTACTACACTTTAAATAATAAAACTACTAAATATCGCACTATTCAATTTTACACTATGAAAATGATTAAAACTAGAAGTCTTCCAATTTTAAACCAACACACTCAAAATAATAAAACTACTAAATTTCACACTATTCAAATTATTAAACACAGAACTTTGAAATGTTAAACTAACATACTTTGTCTAATGAAATTTCAAACTATTGTTAAATTTCTATGCTATGAAACTTTAAATAAAGCCTGAAACTACCAAATTTCAAACTATTAATTCCATTAAACCTAAAATGATTAAAGTTTAAATAATTAATTGGAAAACTATTAAACTCAAACTATTGAAACTGTAAAACAAGTTTTAATCAATAACTTTGTTGATCAATTTGTTTCACTCAACAGAATTTATGTTAACTTCAATAAATTCTGATTTCTCTACAAAATTTTATTTATTTTTATTGTCTATATTAAATGAATTAATCTTATAATTTTAAACTAATAATTAATAACTTAGACTTGAATTAAACTAATAATATGTGCTTGAATAAACTTAATTAATTAGTTTAGGCCCATCAGATAATTTGCTACTGAATTAAATTAATAAATTAATTTGTACTAAACAAATAATTTAATTGTGAATGTAATTAATAAATTATCTTATACTAATCAAATAATTTTCTTTAGAATTAAATTAATAAATTAGTTTGTACTAAACAAATAATTTACTTGTGAATGCAATTAATTATCTTATACTAATCAAATATTTTTCTTCAGAATTAAATTAATACCTCAGCATTTCAATAACCAATTTAATTTTAAATTAAACTAAAAACTTACTAAACAATTAAACAATTTTCACAATTATCACAGGAACAAAAATGCTAAAGCAAAAGATGCAAAACGTGTAATACTACAATAGTTACAAACATTATTAAGAACCAGATTTTAGGATTTCATAAATGGTACTAGTTATCTGATTCAATGTTTCTAACAAATGGCTCAAACAGCAACCACTATACACAAGCAGAAACTGTTATACCGAAGAACAATCTAACTTCAAAACAATGAGCATATGGAATGAGTTAAAGTAAAGTTTCATAGTGATTTCAATGGAACGTAAAGCAATTAACTTCGTTACTAAACGAGAATATCCAACGAGGAATTAATAGATACTATTTCAAACGGACTAAGCATGTTCCCATTTATTTAGTCAAACGAATTCCGTCTATCTACTAAATTTTCCATAATACCCTATCATTTTCTATTCTACTGTAAAGAATATGTTGACAATAAACACGGTTAGTGGTATACAATTATTGAGGTCCCAAATTCACCTTTGTTAGGAGTATAATACTGTTCAGAATTATGACGTTTCATTTTCATCCTTGTGAATTGCCGATTATTACCTGTACAGTTATTTTTCTTTGCTATAAAGGGATATTTTTGTAGCAATAGGCATTCTTTTACAAGGGTGAGCTTCAAGGTTTATGGATCTTGGATTGTTAGAGAAGCCCAATGGGGCATCTTTTAGAGAGGGTTGAAAGTGTAAGGTAACTTAGGGTGATTGAATTTTTAAGGTGATTACAGTGGTAAATATTCAAATTCACATGTTTGTCAATTTTCTATATTTTGCTACATTTGCTAATTTTTAAATTTTTAGTTTTCAAATTCCCATATTTAAAAATTTGGAATATTTTCAATCCCTACATTTGTAAATTTTCAATTTTCCAAATTCCTATATTTACAAATTTTCAGTCATCTAAATTCCTACATTTGCAAGTTTTCAATTTTCTAAACGTCTACATTTGCAAATTTTCTACTTCCAATAGTCCTATATTTACAAGTTTTCAATTTTCTAAATTTCTACATTTACTAATTTTCCATTTGTATATTGTTAAATTAGCAAATTTTCAATTTTCTAAATTCCTACAATTGTACACTTCTAATTTGTAAATTGTTAAACTTGCAAATTTTCAATTTTCTAAATTTTTACATTTGCAAGTTTTCAACTTTCTAAACTTCTACACTTGCACATTTCCAATTTTCCAGATTTTCAAATTTCTAAATTCCTTAAAATTAATTTTGACGCTCAAATATTTTTAAATTCTAATATTCCAAATTTCTCATCTCAAAATGGTTAAAATACCAAATTTCCAAATCCTCGTACGTTCAAACCCCACATTGCAATGTATTCATATACCACGTGCTTTCACCCTAACATATCCCACATAATACAGCCTCTGCCTCAACTAAAAAATCCAAATTAACACTAACATTACAGAACCCATCAAAATGATCCCAAATTCATCATTTGCAATTACTAAAATTTCAATTTCAATTACTAAAAACGTTTAATTATTAGCATTTCAATTTCAATTACTAAAAGTTTCCAATTATTAGAATTTCAATTTCAATTACTAAAAATTTTCAATTGCTAAAATTTCAATATCAATTATTAAAGATGTTTAATTACTAAAATTTCAATTTGAATTACTAAAAATTTTCAATTTCTAAAATTTCAATATCAATTATTAAACATGTTCAATTACTAAAATTTCAATTTGAATTACTAAAAATTTTCAATAATTAAAAATGTATATTTCATCAAAATAAAGAATCATCGTACAAGTCAATTCAAGTATAATTTAATTTCAATTAAAATACACAAAATCAATATAAATAAAATTGAATGATCAACTTAAATATAAAATAGTCATTAAAGTCCATAATAGGTTTATATTATACACCCTAAAAACACAAACTCACGTGCTACCACACGCATACAAAATAAACATACGTATAAATAAATATACATATTGAACCGACACGTCAAGAACGTCCCATAAAATAACACGATTTCGTACGACGTTGTTTAATTACCAAAGGTGTATCGCCGTTATCGTGAACTATCTGAATCACAAATTGAAAAGCTCTGTTAACGCGAACGTACTATATTTAGCCTTCCCTGTCTTTCTAATCGACCACACGTCTGTACCGGGCGACTGTGACCGTTTCGCTCTGCTGCTGTCCGCAATGCAATTGGACTGTGGAATTCAGTGCAATCTGCGTTCCGTTATACACGCCGTGTTCCGAGTGTGTGGAGAACTTTAAACGACACCAATGGCTCCCTGATCGTTTCACTACCAAATCGACTTTGAACGCCGTCCTCGATTAGCGACGCATCGCGTAAAAGAAGAAGCGATAGTTTTTCGACTGTGACACCGGCGGGGGTCGTTGCACCAGACGATTGCGCAACCTACACCGACGATAACAACGTCGCGGTTAATTTCGAGCAATCACAAGATCTGTCCATAATTCCACGGGGATCCGGTGCGCGGGATCGCCTACGATTTGTCAATCTACTGCTCCGTATCTCCCTTTGCTTCGGTGCCGTGAGTCATGTGTCCGTTTCGAATGATTGAAACGATCGCGGACGCAGATTTGCAGAAATGTATGGCTCTTTACGAATGCCCGTAATTTCAACGCTACGAAAACAGGGGCGATTGGGGTAGTTAGAGTGGGGCAAGTTTTTGGAATTTTGGAAATTCGCATTTTGTAAAATTTTTCAATTTTTGAAGTTTGAGAATTTGGATATTTTGTGTTGTCGGATTTTGGAATTAAAAATTTGTACATTACAAATTGACAGAAATAGCAATTTGTAAATATTGAATTGACAAAGTTAACAGTTTGAAGAACTTTGACTTGACAGAATTAAAAATGTGTAAACTTTAAATTGACAGAAATAGGAATTTGTAAATTTTGAATTGACAAAGTTAATAAAACTCTGTAATTTTCGAATTGACAGAATTATGAATTTGTAAATGTTGAATTGACAGAAGTAGAAATTTGTAATTTTCGAATTGACAGAATTAGGAACTTGTGAATTTATAAATAACACACTACCATATTTAGAAGCTTAAAAAATTTTTAATTTTAAATTACCATATTTAGGAATTTGCAAATATGTAAATATGGAATTACCATATTTAGGAATGTGCAAATTTGTAAATATGGAATTACCATATTTAGGAATTTGCAAACTTGTAAATATAGAATTACCGTATTTAAAAATTTGAAGATTTCTAAATTTTCAATTAGCATATTTAGAAATCTAAAAATACAAAAATATAAAATTTACAAACTTATTAATTTCAAGTCCTCAAACTCAATTATACAAAAATTTCAAATTCACAAATTTGTAAACCTAAACCTCTCAAATACAGCAATTTACAATTTTACAACTACTACTTCTCAATTCCAAAAATTTATAAACCTAAATATTTCAAAAACCAACAAATTCTAAACTTTAATCAACAAATTTTAAACTTCACATTTTCATATTTCCAATTCTCAATTCTGAATCATCCACATTCCTAAATGTATCTTCCTTCATTCCATAGAATAATCCTAAATAAACTGCCACTTGTTTTATCATCATTCAAAATTGTATATAAATTTACTTCACATTTGTTGAACATATCACCGTTCAATTTTAATTGCACTGATACATATTTCCAAAACAAACTTTCACCGTTAAAACGTTTAAACTCGCACAATACCGCATAAACCACTAACTAAAAATATCCGATTACGCGATATCGCGTGAAAAACGCAAAATATCCACTCACGTGATATCGCGTGCTCAGTCTCTAGTGTTTGAACACTGCGGCACACAGATGCTGACCCAATTCTAGGACCCGGCGGCAAGTGAATGAAGACGTATATTTTTATTGATTAATAAAAGAAAAATTGCAATCATAAAATTCATTGCAAAAAATTGTGTATGAATATTGAATATTATAGTAATTGTTATATGGTCGTTTTGATCCAATATACTCTTACGTATATTTTGTTTATTATATGTATATATTTAATTCAATATTCTTAAGTATTTAATTATAACTCAATGTTTGTATAATAATAAATCTATTTATAATTAATATTTGAATAATAATTCTGTATGTATAATAATAATAATTATATTTTTGTAAAATAGGATAATAATTCTATTTTTGTAAAATACAAATTCCTGTTTCTGTCAAATAATAATTTTTAACTAGTGTATAATAATTCCTCTGAGTAAAAATGAAACTATGCCAGACTATTTGTCTCTAAAAGACAATGGGTTAAACCGCGCGATTACCATTATATCATATTTTGAAAAGCGCCTATGTATTACAACATAATTTCACGCGATTTTACGCGGAAACTGGTGCACACGTATTATCGTTTTTCACGAACTTCCGCGTGTAGAAATTAAGCGCGGCTAATTAGCGTGAGGTTCAACTCGCCGCCCGACGGGTACACACGTATCGCGATAAACAGTTACAACGGAATATTTGAGTGGCGATTTCAACTTGTAATACAGTTAAGAATTTGGAATTTTATTTTGAAATTAAACACTGTACTATTCCAATATTTCGAAGTTAACCTAAAATGCAAATAAAGTTTCTAAATTCTTAAATCTTCGGTGTCAAATCTAAGAATTCCTAACTTTCTAAACTTGCAAGGCATTTGCAAACTCTTAAATCTTCAAATTTTCAAATATAATTCAAACTGTACAAATGGGAAAGTAATCTGGAAATTTCAATATTAGATACTTTGAAAATGTGAACTGTCAGAAGTTCGGAATTAAGAAACTTTCATAGTTCCCGTATTCAGTGTTTGAAAATTGAGAAGCAAGTGGTCTCACCCCTATATTTGTTTTAAAGCGAAGAAAGTTTAGTAGCCCGAATGTTAACGCATTCCTCACTTTCAGTATCAAAAGCACGAAGCGAAAAGCAGCATTGTTTTTCGGCGGCCAGTAGCACGCGGTAATATACACATACATACGTGGCGCGCGTCGGGTGCGTGGAAAAAGGTACGCAGATACAAGTCGACGACCAGAAGCGGTACAGTCGAGCGAGAAAACCAATCGGGTGTCTAGAATGTCTCTCTCACTTGCTCACTCACTCACTCACTCACTCGCACACACTTGCATTCATTCGCAACGTATCTCGCTCTGTATCTCTCTCCCTCCCTCGTTAATATCCGGAGTAGAGGGGAAAAGAACCGATCGTTCGATTTGCCAACGCCAGCTTCCTATCTTCCTCGCCGTTCGCCTTTTATATTCCATGTACGTTTGAATTACGCAGCCAGCGGTTATTCTATGCCGCCGCGACGAAATACGAGAGACACAACGGCGATATACGAACACGCGGCAACGAAAGCACACGCTTCACTATGCCACCGTTACACTCGGTATTGAAATGTCCTATACCACCATTATATTTCCGATCTACGCGCGGATTGTTGCAGCAGCGAGGAAAGGGAAAGGGAAAAAACGGAGAGTTCGAACTACGTTCTCTTTACGAACCTCCTTTGATCGAGTCGTTCGAACAAGCCGACATTGACGCCGCGTCACACCACGCTGCGAAACGTTTCCCTCCCGGCACCGTATATTCGTTTTATCTCGTCGCACGTCTCGCGGCAATATCACATGCGATACGATGAGAAAACCAACGATCGCCGATGAAACACTCGGCTACAACACGTAATTCGCAGAATAATTTCGAAGAAACGGTCGAACGATAATAACGCCGGCGCGGCGTGTTCGCTATGGTGGCGCACCGTAGGCCGTTCGTCGTCGCGAGGCGTCGCGAACCGGACCGTCGCGTCGCGTTTTAATGGGGCGCGGTCGTATACAGAAATTGTTAATTACCTAAATGCACTCCTTAATCATCGGGGATGGGGTCTGCCTCTTCTCACCGACGCACACAACACTCGACGTTGAGAAACGGGGGAAAGGAAGAAAAACACTACACTCTACGCGACACTGGAAAACTGCACCACCTCGGCGGAACGCGAACGAGTCTGCCTCGTTCTCTCTCACGTCCGGTCTCGCTCTATTCCGTCGATGCGCGGCGCTGTGTGCGCCGCTGTGCGCGCCGCTGATGCGTGCGAGCCTTGCGACACTGGCGCCATACTGTGGCGTCCATTATTACTTCCGCCAATCGCCGCACGCCATTGGCTGACCAATAGAGTGCAACCTTCATGCGGCGCGCCTCGTTCGAACAACGTTTCATCGTATCGAATGTAATCGCAAGCGAAATCGAATAATAAGTGTAGTTTATTCACAAATTGAAATTAAATGTTTATTATAAGCCTGAATACTTTAGATTGTATGTTCCATTTGTGCATAGATTGTTGATTAGAGAGGGAAATTTTGGTGTGACATTACTGATTTGCGAAGTTTAATACTGACCAGTGGTGCTCGATATTTACGCGACAGTTTACGCGGCGCGGCAAATTCAAACTCTGATTTGTTGCATCGAATACAATCGCGCGGAAAAATTAATTAGTGAATGAAATTGACAAATGAAATGAAATGAAATGTTGAGTGTAAGAAAAAATAACTTCGAGTATATTTTTTAATTATGAAAGTACTCTTGTCTAAAGAGTGAAACTTTAATTTAACATTAATATAAATTTAATATATTGATACGAAGTGTGTAAACTAAAATTGATTGACAAAATAAAATGTACAAATATGATACATCTCAGACCTCTTTTATCATTACATTTTTTTATTGTCTCTTGTTCTACATTTCAAAATTACTGCTTACAAATATTATTAAAAGTATGAACTCATATTTTTCGAGAAAATTTAGCCCGTTTTGCCTTACATCCAGAAAATTATGATGGATTGTAACAACAATGTACGATTCTTGGCTTGATTGATATTAATGATCAATGTATTCCTCTTCGTTCAAGAAAAACGAAACTCTTTGATTTGTTAATTTATATTAATGACGAGATAAATGTGTACAAGTAAGTGTTATTCAAATATTTATCAGGATATTATAGGAAAAACATCCCCATAGTTATTATTAATTGCTCTTAATGTAATGTTAATGTTATTAATGTTTTTCTGTACAGCGAAAATCAAGTTACCGGTCAGTAGCTTAACATAATGCTTTCAAATCGACATGCGATCGTACAAATACCCAGTTGAGGTAGTGATTAAAATTGCACCTTTGTATAGCGTTAATTTCAGTAATTGCAGCATTCGATTATGACCTGATGGAGTATTTGCAGAGCTCACTGAAAATCAGCGTCTACGATAATCGTCGAGAATCAGTGTCCATAATGATCATTGTGAAGCACGTCTATAATAATTACCGCAATCGGATGATCATTAGGTAATATTAATCGCGTATCTCTGTACACCGAAAATTCGTACAATTGAGTCTCAAGGTCATCTATCTTTCTCCCACAAAAAAAAATGTTACTTCTGTACCGCGCACAAAGGCAAAAATTTAATTTATAAAGGTACATCGCAAATGTGAAATGCTGTAAATATTGTCTCGGTCGTACAACAAATACGTTCAGTCCCTTGAACCGTACAGAAACGCGGATCTTTTAATTCTTTTGTACCCAGGAATACGTTTGTTCTTCCGTTTATGTTGCGAGCATGCTCGAACAAGAACGAGTTTAGAAACACAATGATGGTAAGTTCTAACAAAAGGAGCTTACCTGGAAATACAAAGGATACTTTATTTCGCGAGTTTTATGCGGTTGCTGGAAACTCTGAGTTACACGGTTAATTGTATGCAAGAAAAAGTATTCCGTGCGAGAAGCATTTTAATTTTGAATAACAGCGTTCCAAAATTTACCGGGGAGTTCTGCCAAGTGTGAGTCACCGAACACTATGCTACCTGGAACTACAATGGGTACACGTAGTAAAATACGGTGAGTCGGAGGCAAAGAGAGATGCATTGTTTAAAGGTGTTCTCAATGTGGGTATAGGATTTGGTATTTATTGGAGTTTAAAAATTTTTTAATTTAGGATACTAATATATTTCGCTTGATATTTTAGAACATTATCTTATGCAGGGATAGCAAAAAGAAGGCAAAGAGAGGTATGCTTTCAAAAAAAAAGAGCTATTTCCAGAGGAAAAAATCTGTACCGTCCAAAACAGAAAAAATAAAATTTTAATAATAATCAATATTTGCTATGTAAAAAAATTGAAACTCTTAAAGAGCTATGAATCGATAAAAAATTTGGAGAAATGTGCCTTAGGGCAAATTCTCAGTTAAACATCAATTTGAAGCTTTCATGTCATTTAACTGTATCGAATGGTGCAGCGAAGTCCACGCGTGTGTATTTCATACTTAACAGCGTGACGCAATTTGAGGATTCGCAATTTCTCAGGCGTAGCCCTTATTCGTTTGACGTTAAAGGATCAGTGATCGTGTTCCCATTGAATTGGATCTGCTTTGCGTCGCGCGTTTTCCGCGAACAGGACACCAATGGAAATTAACTGGCATACGGAACAATTCCTTGCGATCCACAATGCACGTATCACGCGTCGCAGCGACGCGTCGCGACGCCAACTTCCACGTTGTATCGCGTTTCACCGATTCAGAGGAACATACACAACCCCGTGTACAAGAGAATAGCCGTTTATACGCGGAGTTTGCAGGATATAATGGCAAGGTCCACTGGCGACAAATCGATAAGCCGTTCAACAATAACAACGAGCATCGCTCTTTGCTATCCTTATCCTCGCAGCTCCAAGGACCAATCCTTCGTTGGCAAACACTTGTCCGCCATTTACTCGGTAAATTTCTCTCTTAGAATCCTACGTTGCTTGTTTTACGAGCTTCGACTCGTACTCGATCGCGGCTAAATTGTTGTTTGCCCGAGAAAAACAATAAATTCGATTGTGCATCGGTGGGCCCCGAGGTAAACACCATAAACGTTTCGATCCTCTAATGGTCGGTTTCCAACTATCACATAAACTTTCTTATATCTCCAGTCGGTCACGAACTGGGAATTCTTTTATCGTTCACGTTGGTGTCATTGAAAACATTTTTAAAAATGTGTCAAAATGGCGAAGCCAACAAAACTTCATCGCGGTAATTGGCGGGAAAGAATTCAAAAATTCTCCTTGTGTGAATAATACAACGAAGGCGAATTGAATTTTCAAAGAAAAATAGATCGATTGTACAGCTCAAAATAGCCGGAGACTTCGATTTCCGCGATATTAAATATTTTTGTTCCGTCGAAATACACAGTCGGCCGTCAAAGGGACAATGGCGGATTCGCAGTGAATGGTACCTTCTAATGAGCTTGCTCTTTCGCAAAACTGTACGGAAGTAGGAAGCAGCGTTGGTCGCCGTTTAGTCTCAGTCGAGATTCCATTGGCCATTGCAAACTGAATTTCCAATAATTGCTTTCCGCACCGCCTAAAATGATAATTAAATTCCTGGTCGCGCTATTACCTATAGCAAGCCATTGTCGTCATAATGGCCTTTCAGGTAGCGGCGTAAGGGAAGTCGTGGCTACATTTAAGGATGTTCGGTAAACACACATCCTTGGACAAAATTGTCTCGCTAAAGTAACGTTCAATTAATCATCCATTTATTGCCTGTTTCGTGTCACGTTTTATCACACTGTTCACACTGTGACTACTCTGTTTTTGTTTTCTGGAATCTCTTTGTTTCACGATGTTACGAAGCGAATTCAAAAATGGACTTTTACTAGTTTTGTTCGGGTGTGATGCCCATTTAAATTAACTGCTTCAGTTTGTTTAAAGTTAGTGACATTGTTAGCTCGTTTAAGTTTGATTTTCGAAAGGAAAAATTAAGAACGAAAATTTATATTTTTTCAACTCCTATACTTGCAAGTTTACGATTGCCAAATTTTTAAGTATATCTGCAAATTTTTATATTGCACAACTTTTTACTACTTTTCTCAATATCAATATTTCTTCAGGTTCCAACATTTTCACCAGTAGGATAGTTTTTTAGGTTGACGTAAAAATGACCGGTTTGAAAGGGTTAAATCCAAGGAACAATTTTCATTCGTTCATTTGCCTAACCGCCCCGTCACGGCTCCAGAGACAATCACGTCACGCAACTTGACCGCGAGAAGAGGGTCGGCCCCGTTCCCGGCTCTAGAATCCAGAAATGGAGCTCGACCTCGGCCCCCTAGCCCCTCGGGTTTCCGGCCCTGAACGCACGCCGACAGCGAGAGGACTCGCTCGCAAACAGCCTGGTCCGAGGCTGAAGTCGCGATGAAAGCCGCTGCGACACAGCCACCACCCTCTTTAGGGGTGTTTCACAGGAGGGCGAGCTCTCAGCCGAGAAATCTCCTGGAGAACGTTGGAGGTTGACGGAAATGAGGCGACGGAAGTAGGAAGCAGCGTTGGTCGCCGTTTAGTCTCAGTCGAGATTCCATTGGCCATTGCAAACTGAATTTCCAATAATTGCTTTCCGCACCGCCTAAAATGATAATTAAATTCCTGGTCGCGCTATTACCTATAGCAAGCCATTGTCGTCATAATGGCCTTTCAGGTAGCGGCGTAAGGGAAGTCGTGGCTACATTTAAGGATGTTCGGTAAACACACATCCTTGGACAAAATTGTCTCGCTAAAGTAACGTTCAATTAATCATCCATTTATTGCCTGTTTCGTGTCACGTTTTATCACACTGTTCACACTGTGACTACTCTGTTTTTGTTTTCTGGAATCTCTTTGTTTCACGATGTTACGAAGCGAATTCAAAAATGGACTTTTACTAGTTTTGTTCGGGTGTGATGCCCATTTAAATTAACTGCTTCAGTTTGTTTAAAGTTAGTGACATTGTTAGCTCGTTTAAGTTTGATTTTCGAAAGGAAAAATTAAGAACGAAAATTTATATTTTTTCAACTCCTATACTTGCAAGTTTACGATTGCCAAATTTTTAAGTATATCTGCAAATTTTTATATTGCACAACTTTTTACTACTTTTCTCAATATCAATATTTCTTCAGGTTCCAACATTTTCACCAGTAGGATAGTTTTTTAGGTTGACGTAAAAATGACCGGTTTGAAAGGGTTAAATCCAAGGAACAATTTTCATTCGTTCATTTGCCTAACCGCCCCGTCACGGCTCCAGAGACAATCACGTCACGCAACTTGACCGCGAGAAGAGGGTCGGCCCCGTTCCCGGCTCTAGAATCCAGAAATGGAGCTCGACCTC